GTCAAAACATCTTACATTTTTCTCCACTAATCAGGGCCATAATCCCCCCACTGCACTTAGTGATGTTTTAATGTAGTATGTTCCTTAATACTTGTAATATGAAAGATTAGGGTTGATTAGCTGAAGCAGGAACACCACTCAGGGAATGGCCAGTTGGCCACCAAGCCCAGGTCTGTGAGGATGTCCTTATTAATGAAGATCTCTGACTGCTGATGAAAATCGTATCATAATGACATGTACTCGGTCTGCTGTCCTGTTACTTTTCTTTCCTCATAACATCTAATGTAATAATGACAACTCACATTAATTCAAACATTAAGTTAATTTAAAATAGCAAGGCAGGAAAATACAGAACTGTAAAGAGTTCTATATACCATGCAAAACTATCATCTAAAACACCCAAATAACTCTCTTTCAATGCATTGACTGCAGACAGCAGATTACTTGGCACAATCCCCACACTCTTCTTTATAGTCTCAAGCTTTTCCACCTCAGCCTAATAAGGAAAAGATCTCCTCCTCTTCCTTCTCCCATGGAACACAGTGGGAAGGACTCATACACAGTTCTCAGCTGCCACCCACATACTGACCATCACTTGGCTTCCCTGAGCACGAAGTTAGGCACTGAACACTGCTCTGTAGGTTCTGACAGTGAACCAAAGTCTCCAATCCCAGGAAACAAGGGCTTTGCACAAGCTGAGCAAAATTCCCAGCTCAATCTCCATTCTTTATTGAAAGAATTGGACACTCACAATAATTTTTCATTCTAGTTAATATGTCCCTTAAACCATTAAAACTTCATCATCCCAACTGGAACATAGAAACTTTCTTTCTATGCTTCAGACAGATCCTGGGTCCTAATTTCAAAATGAGCTCCACTCTCCGTGTATAAAACAGGAAAATTAGTTACCTTCACACCTTCTTTCTATCCTCCCTTCACAAGGGTCACAAACCAAGAAATTTCTGACTGAAAAGCTCTTCAGAGATTTCTAAACTATAACCCTTTACTTCAAAGATCAGGGCAAGCTGGCCAAGGCCAGTCTGGGAAACATAGCAAGACCCCAACATCTCAATAAAAATAATTTAAAAAATGAGAACGCTGGGTGAGAGGAACTCACCCATGGAGCTTAGCTAATGGCAGAAGAACAAGAATTCAGTTCTCTGTGCCAGATAACAGTTCAGTGATAGAGCACTTGCCTAGCACGTGTGAGGCCCTAGGTTTGATCCCCAGCACCGTAAGAAAAATTAGTATTTAACAAATAAATGAACAAACAAAAAGAATCCAGGTCTCTAGTTCAAACACATCGCCCCTTCCTTTAAGCCACTTTGATTCCCAGGATCTATAAGAAACCCATCACCACAGAGTTCCCAGATAGAAACACTGCTTGTCCTGGATTGCTATAACTCATGTTAACACTCAGAGATGTCTTCCAAGTTTAACCATAACAAAAGATCGGCTAGGTACAGTAGCAGAATTTACAAGGATATTAACTCTCCAAGAAAACCACACAAACAAACGAAAAATCCCTGCTCAAAAAATAGATTCTCCTACTCCCTCTGGAACTACTCCCACCTCTGGTTACAAAGCAATAATTATCCTGTCCTACAGCAATCAATAAAAACTCTTGCCCCATGAACCTGCTATTTCCTGACTTTGTTCTCTGTACTAAAGATTTCCTAGACCTATTGATTACCTACTAAATTTAAAATTCTTTAAAAAACAGCACTGAAGGGCCAGGGATTTAACTCAATGGTTCCACCACCTGCCTCGAAAGCGGAAGATCCCGAGTTGGATCCCAGGTACTAAAAATGAATAAATAAATAAATAAATAAAGCACTGAAGAAATGCTGAAGTTGGCCTAACTTGATATTGTTTGAACAGACTTCAAATCTTTCAGTTGTATTAACAGGTTCCCTTTTCCCAGGCCTTATTTTTCATTGTGAACTTGTCATTTTACAGCTACTTGTGTCACGCCTTATAGCACAGAACCTATAGGATACAAATCTGATGGTCTTTCTGAAACTGTAACTTCCACCACATTTTTCTTACAAGTGAGAGAGAAGGATTGATTAATAAACTATGCTGGGGCTCTCAAGCAACAGCATGAACTTTTTTTTTCCAGTACTGGGGATCAAACTCAGGACCTTGCGCTTGCAAGGCAGGCACGTTGCCACTGAGCTAAACCCCCAGGAACAACATGAAATTTTACCTAACAAATCCATGAGCTCTTAGAGTGCTAATATCAGTCCTCCAGAACTTCTCTCTAAAACTAGTCACCAGAGCGGCTATTATTAGGTGCAGTCATCTTACATCCTTCCCCAGGGCATGCAGTTACTCAATTGTCAAACTTTAAGAGTATGTTATGAATGGGATGATGAAAGCATCAGCAATCAGGGGTCAAGCTGGACTCTGAAGGGCCCTCTGTGGTCCCTCAGGCCTCCTCTCAATGCTTCAAGTGTATCTATCTCTCTCCAACAAACCCACAAGTGCTGCGCATGACTCCTGAGTGAGTAGGAGCTTATCTACGTGGCATCTGTGTGCAGAGCTGGAGGAAGAGATTATCTCTAATTCTCTAACTAGAACTGATATTTTCCCAGGATTTCATCACTACAATTCAGGTGTTATGTTGCCTGCCTGTAATCCCAACTACTCAGAAGGCTGAGGCAGAAAGATCACAAGTAAGAGCGCAGCCTGAGTGCAGACTGGTGCAACCACTGTGGAAATCCGTATGGAGATACCTCAAAGAACTAGGACTAGAGGTCCCATTTGACCCAGCTATTGCCCTACTGGGTATCTTCCCCAAAGAATTAAAAGAATCATACCACAGCGATATATGTTCACCTATGTTTATAGCAGCACAATTTGTAATAGCTAAGGATTGGAAATAGCCCAAGTGCCCATCAACTGGAAACTGGATAAAGAAGATATGTTTTTTTTTATAAAATGGAGTACTACTCAGCCATAAAGAATGAGAAACTAGAGTCATTTATAGCTAAATGGATGCATATTGAGGCCATATTCTCAAGTGAAATAAATAGGACACACATGTGTAAATACCAAATAGCATCTCTAGTGTGAGAAACTGAAAGTGTAAATAAGGATGAAAATGATTAAAATGAATAACTGATAATTTGAAATAGGAAAAGGCCCAAAGGTGGAGGGGTGGCAGGAGGGGAAGAGGAAAGGGAAGAAAGGAAAGGAAAAATTATGAAAAAGAAAAAAAATGGAAATGAAATCTATGTAAATAGAGAAGGGTGGTGGGGGTGAAGGGCACATAGGTAATGGGGAAAAAAATAAGAACTAAGATACATCATGTTCAGGCTACAAACACCCAATGATAAATGTAAATGTATTGTAAAATGTATCAATTAATATATAAATTTAAAAAAAAAATTTTTTTAAAAAGAGCCCAGCCTTGGTAACACAGTGTCTCACGTCTCAAAAGTGAGCCCTGTCTCAAAAAAAAATTAAAAGGGCTAGAGATGTAGTTCAGTGGGTAGAGTGTTGTCTAGCATGTGTGAGGCTCTAGGTTCCAATCCCAGTACCATGGACACATATACAAAGTACAGCTGAAACATGATCAACACTACAGCAACTGTCTACACAGTCATGTGAGCACAGATGGGGTCTAATCTGGTGATCTAGGCGAAAGGATGGATTAGCTGACAGCCAAAAGAGGAGGAAGGGGAGGAAAGCAGTTCCAGACACAGGACAGAGCAGATACAAAGATCCAAAACAGAAGGCCGTTTTTTTCCCTTCTTCTGAGACAAGGGTCAAGCAATATTCAATCATGACAAATGTCACATAAATGCAAGTTTTAGACTCTAGCCATTTTTTTACAATCCCTCCTTAGCAGGCTATCAACTATGCATAACAAAAGAATAGTGTTAAAAAAACCCCACAGACCATTCCCCCCAATCATGAAAACATCACACCATAGCCTGAAAAAAAGAAGGCAAGATGCAAATACTCTGAAAGGCTACAGCAGCTGCTAATATCATGGTTACCTCTAAAACCATGCAAGTCATTTCAAAAGGAAGGGAGGTAGCTGGGAATTGGGAGGACGTGACACAAGCTTGTGCAGGAGCATCACAAGCCTTCAGGTGCCACTGCTGTCAGGATAACACAGTGAAACAGGCAGAATAAGATTCTGGCAGTCAAATATTTGGCTGACCTCAGTTCTTCAGACAAGTTTCTCTCAAGCCTCTAATATGCAGCCCATTTATTCTCTCTGAGCACCACCTCTCAAACTACTGCCAAGTGGAATTCTTAGTTGTGGAGCTACCAGTGTATGGCAGATTTAGCAGTGTGGCTGGTCTCCCCTCACCAGATGTTCCCTCACCAGTAGCACCTCTATCTCACTAGAACACCAACCAAAAATGCCTCCAGACCTTGCTTGTTATCCCCAGGGGTGCAGGATGCAGGGGACCAGTCAGCAGAGAACCACCGGTTTGTAGCAACTAAACATCTTATCCCTATAAGCTTTTACTACTCCCTTGAGTGATGTCCTATCTTCTCTTCTATTTAATGTTCTAAATGCTTCATACCCTCAGTTTCCCCACAAAACAGATTAAAACTTATTAGGGAAACCTTTTAAAGGGGCTCTATGGTCCTGTTCAAATGTCAATTCTCTGAAACAGAAGAAAAGCAACACAACTAATTGCCAAAGAGAAAACAAGATCCAAATCAAGGCATCCCTTCAGCCCTCTTTTCTTGGCCTCCAGAAGCAATCTGAGGACTGAGTTCTGCAGCTTTCACCTTGCAAAGGCCACAGGTGGCACAATGGCCAGAACCAACTTTGACATATGAATATTCACCCTCTTCCCCTCTCCCCAGTACCTCCAGAAAATGACACCCAAGAAGCAATTTTTCAAGAACTGTAAGACCTTCACACTAAATCCCATCAGTTTTCTATGAGGGTTCTCTCTGCCCCTACAGTGACTACAGGCATTGAGAAGGACACTCTCTTGCAAGTTGAAGCCTCCGCTATGTGCGCTCACCGTCTGGGGGCATCAGCACCTTGTTGTTCTGTGTGCACCACCCCACAGGGTGCAGATCAGCTATGACCACATCACACCAGAAGTCAGCCCTGCGGTCCTCCCCGTAACCACAGTAGCGCAGCAGCAGCAGCTGCCCACAGGTGGTGATGATCGTGGCCACCCAATACGTATCTGGGTTGTTCTTGTTGGCTACCTCCAACTTCATTCCTGGCTGGAAGTTGCTCTGAATGCTGATTTCAACCTTAAGGAATCAAAAACATAGGAAAACCATTACTGCACTAGACACACACACCTCCAGAACTGTTTAAAAATACGGCACTTTTTGAAAGAGTATTTTTGTTACCCTATAATAGTTGTATATTTGTGTAAAAGAAATATAAGCTAAACCACAAATATAATGCTGAATCTTCTAGAAGATTCCAAAAATATAAAATTAATTTTATAACATATTCATTTCTAACATATTACCATTTCAACATGTACCCATATTAAAAAATGAAAATGAGATAGTCTTTCCAACCAAAATCTGGTACTGTAATTCTCTATCTACACAATTTGGGCTACAAATTTTCAAGTATTCAACATTTCCATGTGCTGGTGGCTACTGCAGGACAGTGCCAACCTAGAGAATGGACTTCAATTTTTTTTCTCATTAGGAGCTGTATTCTCAAAGAAACTACCAAATCACTGCAGCATCTTAAAATATACGTGTTATCTGACTTTTGCAGGACCATAATCCATCTGTTTACCAGAAAAGGTCTGGCTCTGTTACATTTTAATATTTGGCTGTTTGTTTCACTAAATGGCCACAATCACATTCATAATAAATTGTCACATGATGAATACCAAAAGAGAGCTAGGAATGTACTGTATCTTTACCAGGGCACACAAATTTAATAAGGTCTTTAATTCCTTTTCAATAGAATATTGCACCACCAAAAAGAATGAAATGTCTTATTAAAATAAAAATCCAAAGTCCTGGCTTTCTCATTTGGGCAAAGAATCAAAAGAAAAGTTAAGAAACTGACCAATTTGCCTTTGAAACTCAGGCTGAATCTTTGCCCTGGGTAATCCACTGGGGGAAGAAAAAGATTTCTTAGTTTATTAAAACAACAGTCCACATCTAATAGCTCAAGTCTTGAAAATTTATTTATTTCCTTGCTAATTATTTAAGGTATCAATATCTCACACCTAAGCAAAAATCTTGTAAGAACTCAATTTTTCAATTTTCTGTAGCTTGTCCCTTGGTGAGCATTCTACTTGCATTATCTAAAGAAATACTATTGATGAGAATGATTTTTGTTAGTTCTAAATGTTTTCAGAGTATCTAGGATTATTTATTTCATTTGATACATCTGTCCACAAATTGCTGTGAAAATTTAATGTATCCTTTCAAAATAGCGGTTCACAATAAAATTACATAGCTATTAACCTACTAAGACATTTTGCTGGCTTTTTGTTTATTGGACTGAAACCTATTTTTATCTGCAGCTATCTGTAAAAACCAAACTAATTTTCACATCTCTTTATTCCTAGGAAATCTTGGCTGAATTTCTTCTTTCCTTTGCATTCTTTTCTTTCCACTACAGATTCCATCCCCTTCCCACTCACAGGGCAGAGGAGATGAGCTGTTTTACTTACATGTTTGAAGGATGTGTGTGGGGCAGCCCTAGCACCTGTCTCTTCCAAATAGTCTCCCCAGTTAAAACCAATTTCCTCCAAGCTGGAGTCTTCTGTTGGGAAAAACAAATGAACAAAAAAGGAATATCAACACCATGGTAAAGAATGGAAAGTGACTGGCTTCAGCTAGGACCAGAAAATACTTCATAAAAGGGACAAACTAATTCAGTGGTTTAGTCGGATATTGCTGAATTCTCTGTGGGGCTTCTCTGCCTATTGCAGAGATGGTGACAGAAGAAATGATGGCAAAATCTTGCTTTGACCCTCTGACAAAAATCAAGAGTAACATATATGTTCTCTGGCAAATAAATGGAAAACCTCTCTGGGCTGATTCCTTGATGGTAGAGTATTAGCCAAGCCAGACACTCCAGCCTTTGGGAAAGAGAGCCTTTCAGCACTCAGAATGCACCTTGATATATACAGGCACTACTGGCTACCTACTGTGGCTGGAGATTATAAAAGAATGTCCTCAATTGTTAGTGTCACATGGGACTTTAGATAACAATGAATTTAATGACATTTTAAAGGGTGGGGGGATGGAGCTCCAAAAGGATTGTTTCAGCACCTGGCAAGTTGGTGACAGAAACAGATCAGCTGCCAGACCCTCTTGCCCACTTCTCCAGCTGGGATACAGCCCGCAGGGCCACTCACACCACAGAATGTGTTTCCCCAATCACAAGGAACAAAGAAAACCACAATCCAATGCCCACCTTGGCTCTGAAAATCATGATTGCTTTAAATTTGCACAGATCCTCACATCCAGACTCAAAAGGAGGTCAACCATGTCCCAAAACATTTAAGGCTATGAATGAGAGATCATTTGTATTATTAAAAAGCACTAAATGGTACATTTTAAGATATAGAGAGCATAAATGTTATATGTCAAATGGGAAGAGGTAAGAAGCTCTCCATAGTATTTTAACCTACTAGCAAGGCAATCATAAGGAAAGAAATCCTATCAGGAAGAGCCATGCACATCTATTAAAGAGAGCTCCAAAAGTTTAGATTCTCTTCTCCTGCAAGAATGTTCCATGGATTCCACTGCTCCCAGGGCAGAGGAGGTGAGCCAATCCCAGCACCCAGGAGGAGGCTCCCTACCGCCATTCCACCACTCCTAGGGCAGAGGAGGTGAGCCAATCCCAGCACCCAGGAGGAGGCTCCC